CCCAAAAACCCCCAAAATAAATGAAAAAAAAGTGAATGTAGCGCAATCCAATGTATGGCGTACAACACGCGGAAGTAAACAAAACCATCTTGCTCCTATAGCGCCGCATGACGATATATAAATATATGGGAGGTGTTTATATATATATTATATAAACATATATGTATATACATACATATATATGTATGTATATATACTTATATACGTATATATGTATATGTATATATATATAATGTGATTAGATCAAGAAGTGCATACAATGCCTCACATTATGCCTAACATACAACGCCTCACATTATTTTTTCAAGCCATAATGGTCCTGGCTAACAACATTGTGCTAAAGTTAGTGCAACGGGTGCCTAAATATTGAAACAATTTTCTTTGATGCAACGTCTGCATGCAATTAATAATATCGCGGGGAGATTTATGAGGTGATGAGATACCCAGAACCAAGGAACTTGTTACATCAGAAACAGCCGCGCTCCCAGACACTGTGCCACATGAAGCAAATGCTCTGCATTGCTTTTTGTGCGAAAACTCCATCGAGCAGAAACATATAGCAAACAACAATGAGCGTTGACCACAAAATGATGTGCGGCAGAAGCGGGAAGAACTCGTCCCCGAAAAAACAACAAGTATCTGTAGTATCTGTCGTAGACCGCCCGGCTCCCTGTCTGATCTGTTTAGCATTCCTGTTCTGTGTCGCTCGTTCATGGCTTGTTATACATTGTTTCTCGAACTTCGATCTGAGACGCTAGCAGAGAAAAAGAAAATATTTGTCTCGCGCAGACGCCGTTTGCTCCGACCGCACGTTCCCTTCAGTGCCCGTCCTCTGTTCCTGTTTTTTTCTGATCTCATCCACTAATCTCCCACACTGAGACTATACCATGGTATGGTGTGTGTGTGTGTGTGTGTTGCATTCCTCAGACCTGCTGCTGACTATTTTATGTGCTAATATGTAGCACTCAAGGAGTCCCTCCTCAGATGTTAGAGATTTTCTCCGCTGTCGTAGACTTTGTTTATTCAGATTCAGATTCAGCAAACGTTAGGTCCTGGGGATGGGAGGGGTACGGGTGTGGTTGAGGGGGCATGACTCTGACCTGCATCAGACTGGCTTTGGCCCAGCTAATTTCGAGGCCCAGTAACTCTGACCTGCATCAGGGTTTTGGCCCAGCTAATTTCGAGGCCCAGTTTGTTGGTTTCCACTTGAAAGATTATCAGAGCTTCTTCTAGTGGGATAGTGTCAAAATAGTTTGGTGTCATCTGCATACTGCTTCATACAGGCAGTTGAGGAGGCCTAGGTGTCCATCAGATGACAAATACGAACCCCGGTACACGCTCAGCTTTTTCGGGTTAGATTCCAACCTCTTCCCTCTCGACTACATCCCCAGCCCTACGCTGGAGGAGCTCCCCGGGAAGTAGGTTGATCCAAGATGTCTATTTTCAGCACCTACTTTCTACTCTTGCCCAGTGCGCTGAGCCACCTCCATTTCCATTTCCAAGTCTTGACAGCATCGAATTGTTTTTGAAATCACGCACACCTCCAAACTTCCATAGTCTTCCTCTAAGTCTTCCGAGCCCTCTACCACATCTCTGGAGACCTGGGAGTCTTCCAAGCAGTTTAAGTTTTCCGAAGTCCTCTGAGTCAGCTTCGTGGCAGCCTTTGCCCGACTCGTCCTTGCTACAGGGTGCTTTGAAGCCATCTTTAGAAGGGGGCTTACACGCCTTCCTGATACCCAGACTCAATAGCCGGCCCTGGAATGTCCTTAAAAGCTGGTCAGGGCAACGTTTTTACAGCTAGCTAGGCCAAAATCTCCTATGATCAAGCTACTTTTTTACATTACTTTCATGCGTTCTAGCATAGCTACAGAAATGTATTAATATATTTTATATAGGTCAGTGTAAAAACGGATGCAAGAAATATATCAAACGATCATTTTTGCCTAATTGTTGCCTCCCTAATCCACTGTAAACCCGTGTACACGGTACGTCGCGGCGTTCTCTACAAATGTCGACAACATCCTCCTGGCAAGTGAGTTCATCAGAAGTTCATCTCATCTGACAGAGACGGTGCTTCCAGTGTGAATAATCTCACTCCAGGTTTTCCTCGGAGTTTGGTCTGGTTTCGAGGCAGAGAAGTTTTTCCTCAGTCTTGGACCTCGCAGTTCAACTGAACTTTTCTTACATGCTGTGCTGCTGTTCACTAAGGTTTTGGTGGATTTTTTTTATATATATATTTTATTTTAGGAACAGCTAATATTAGTTCGTAGGCTCTAAAATCTTTTTTTAAATTTATTTTATTTACTTACGCCCGTTGTGGCATCTCTTAAAACTTATGCGCAAGTTGAACAATCTTAAGGAATCTTAAGAACTTATATATATATTTTTTCTAGAATTTCTAAACACATGTAAGGCATTGTTTCCCAAAGACTGGGTCGCGACCCTCAGGTGGGTCGCAAGAATTTTTTTAGGGGTCGTCTTGCATCATGTTTATGTTAGCAAAAAAAAACAAAACGTTCCTTTTAGAATTTTGAGGGATTTCTTTCACAACAGGGCACAACCTGCATCTTTAAAGACTGGATTTAAGTCCTCCCAGTATTTGGACGAGAGAAATAAATCAGATTAAAGATCAAAACATGTTGCAGGGCTACGCTAATTCTCAAAGGTTTCCATTCAAGTTTGGTTTAAAATGTGATTTATGTCTTGATTTTACGATTTATCTTTCTATCTATCTTAAGTGTTGGAGGCGCAACAAGTTTTATTAAATAAAACTCTGACACCTTTATGACCTTTGAGCTTTGAGGATTGATAAAATCAATTAACGTAAAACCTTAAATGACTTGAAATCTAAACAAAAATCCCCGTGATTGGCTAGTATTTCTTTCCTCGACTCTTACGTCTGCGACTTGAAATCCAAACAAAATCCCCGTGATTGGCTAATATTTCTTTCCTCGACTCTTACGTCTGCATGCAGTTTTGTGACATTCCCTGTGCAACGGAGCACTGCGGTTTATTAATAACGACTCAAATCATCTTGATTTAGTCCGTGTGTTTGCGAACACACACGCACACACGCACACACACACAGAAAGAAAAAAAGAGAGAGAGCTTTATGATGTGTTCCTTTGTGTCTGACCTCGCTGCAAATTACCCAGGAGGAAATAACTATTGCGAGTAGATTGTGGGACTTTATTCCAATGTTTCCTGCGGTAACTTATTCCTTTGTCTGGGCCGAGCTAATAGCAGGGAATGGGATTCAAATAGAGTCAAGCTGCCTCCTGAGATCCCTCAATCCAGCACGGCTATAAAAAAAAGAGAGAGAGAGAAAAAAAAGAGGTCTGAGGCCAGTCTAAATATTTGGTAGTCTTAGCAGGTTCATGTTAAAAGACACATGCACACACACACACACACACACACAGACAGACAGACACAGAGGGGGTGAATGCACAAGCAGGCCGAGGCTGTGAAGTTGAATGGCATAGCTCAAAGC